TTTGTATTTCCATACTTGAAAACTCAACCTCCTTTGCCGTTTCTGTTATCTAAATGTGTTCTGTTGTACATAGGATTTTCAGAGGCCTGCTATTTTAGAAGTGGATGGCCAATCCTTCTTCCTAGTCTGTCTCAATGTGAGTATTCATATAGAGCTAGTTTTACTTCTTCTTTGCCAATTTGGATAACATTTATTTCCTTCTTTTCTTATTGCTTTTGATAAGAATTCCAATACAATATTGAATAGGAGAGATTATAATGGGCATTTTTGTCTAGTTCCTATTCCCAAAGGGTATGCCTTTAATATCTCTCCATTGAGGACGATGTTGGCTCTAGGATTTGCATAAATACTTTTCACTATGTAGAAGAAATTCTCCTCTATTCCTATTTTGCTGAGTGTTTTAATCAACAAAGTTTGATGTGTTTTGTCAAAGGCTTTTCCTGCATTAATTGATAGAATCATGTGGTTCTTGTTCTTAGCTTTGTTAATATGATAAATTGATTGTTCTCCTTATATTGAACCATCCTTGCATACCTGTTATGAATTCTACTTGGTCATACTGAATTATTTATTTATAGATAGACAGATAGATAGATGATATATTGGCCAAAATTTTATTCAGGATTTTTGCATCTATGTTCATAAGATATTTTGGTCTGTAGTTTTCAATTTGATGGTATGCTTGGTATCAAGAATATGTTTGCTTCATTGTTTTGCAATCTCTCACCCCAAAGTCCACTCTGCTATGCACCCTTCACTCTGGACTTCTGTAATGACAAGAATACCCATTCACATGTCCCTTTTAAACAGTTCTCTCCCTCATCTGTTTCAGTGTAATATACATCATTCCTCCCCTCCTTTTCTGTCTTCCCTCAACCCTGATTTCAGTCTCATTTTACAACAGTGGCCCTGTGCAATATTTGTCCTTTTGAGACTGAGCTATTTTATTCAGCATAATGTCCTCCAGGGTTATCCATTTTGCGTAATATTTCATGAGTTTCCTGTTTTTCAATGCTGC